ACGCTTATGTTGGACGAGATGATTTTCTCAACGAAGACCGACTGTTACCCATAACGGAGTCCGCTGAAGATAATACTGAAACTCCTGATACTGAAGAAGAAATTCCAGATACTGAAAACGAAATTCCAGATACTGAAAACGAAATTCCAGACACTGAAAAGGAAATTCCAGACACTGAAAATGAAATTCCAGACACAGAAAACGAAATTCCAGACAATGAAAACGAAATTCCAGACACTGAAATCGAAATTCCAGATCCTGAACACGAAATTCCAGATACCGAAAACATAAATCCAGATACTGAAAACGGAATTCCAGGTAGTTCTGAAAACGAAACTCCAGGTAGTTCTGAAAACGGAACTCCAGGTAGTTCTGAAAACGGAAATGATGAATCTGCAGAGAAACTGGAACTGGACCCCATCGAGACCACACATGGCCCTGTGCGAGGAGTCCGAAGCGAGTCTGTGGATATAATTAGTTACTTTGATATACCTTACGGAAGATTCAACAATAGTTTTGATGTGAGTATTTGTGTCAAGTCTGTGGGTTTATGTTCTGTTAATTTTTACTTCAAATTCTGATACGTTAAAACCATGTATAGCAAAGGTTTCAATGCCCATTGGATAAAACTGTTTATAATATAACCTGTTTGTATTATAATTGAAGAAGAGCTGTGGTTTTCTGAATAAAGAAAAATAAAAATAAATAAGTAAAATAACAGACTTAATTAACCTATTTCGTGGTCCAGTGGTATACTAAATTGTTCATTTTATCTGAACATATTATGATTAAATACATACAGGGTGTCCCAAAAACAATGGATAACCCTGTAACCATCGATAGCCCTCGCCATGGTCTCCCTAACGTCCAGTTTTGACCCCAATAAAAATATCACCGTTTTCAAGATTTTTAAGTTTTTGTGCATTTTTAGAAAATTGCCATCTGCAATTACTTTTTCTCATGCCATTTCTACAAATGAGGATACTTTTCAATCTAGTTTTTTTCCTTATCACAAGGGATAGTTGGGCTATCAAAAGAAAAGATCAAAGTTCAACAAATTAGTTTGAAAGTATGAAAATTTTAAGAAATTGCAGAAGAGAAGGAAAAATTAATTCATTGTCTTGCACTTTTGATCAGCCATCGTGTAAAAAAAATGTAGGAAGACCATCGTGCCCATTACCTTAAAAACTTCCTTGGTTAATTGAGATTCTAAAAAGGTATCACAAACCTACAGTATTCTGTATTATTTTTATCTTATGGCTACTTGAATAGCAACTAGTATGAAAACTGCAAAAATGGGTTTTTCTCGGTCTCGGAAATGATGATGATGATGATGATGATAAAATGTTGCTTTATTTAAATTCCTACGCCAAAAATTATCCATTTGTATTTAATGCCACTATGCAGTCCTAGTTTAACTATTACGAGAAAAACTCATTTTTTCAGTTTTCATACTAGTTGTTATTAAAGTAGCCATAAGATAAAAATAATACAGAATACATAGGCTTGTGATACCTTTTTAGAATCTCAATTAACCAAGGAAGTTTTTAAGGTAATGGGCACGATGGTCTTCCTACATTTTTTTTACACGATGGCTGATGAAAAGTGCAAGACAATGAATTAATTTTTCCTTGTCTTCTGCAATTTCTTAAAATTTTCATACTTTTAAACTAGTTTGTTAAACTTTGATCTTTTCTTTAGATAGCCCAACTATCCCTTGTGATAAGGAAAAAAACTAGATTGAAAAGTATCCTCATTTGTAGAAATGGCATGAGAAAAAGTAATTGCAGATGGCAATTTTCTAAAAATGCACAAAAACTTAAAAATCTTGAAAACGGTGATATTTTTACTGGGGTCAAAAATGGACGTTAGGGAGATCATGGCGAGGCCTATCGATGGTTACAGGGTTATCCATTGTTTTTGGGACACCCTGTATTTATAAATATAAAATACATTAATCATTTCAGGCTCCGACGACTCCAGATTCTTGGGAAAAAACGCTGGAAAATATGGAACACACCGTCAGATGTCCTCAACTGTATGGAGACACTTTCGTGGGAGATTCCAATTGTTTGACCCTAAGCGTATTCACCCGTGAGAACGTCACCGATGCCAGTGTGTTATTTTATATTCACGAAAGCAATTTTAATACAGGAAGTGGAGATTCTGCCATTTACATTCCCAAAGATTTAGTCAATAGGAACGTTACACTTGTGCTACCGAATTATCGTCTTGGTCCTCTTGGATTTTTGTGTTTACGAAACAGCACTGCTCCTGGCAATGCTGCTTTGAAAGATCTGATTCTGGCTTTGGAATGGACAAAAAACAATATAAGGAATTTTGGTGGCGATCCATCGAACATAGCAATTAGTGGCGATGGCGCTTCGGCTGCATTGGTCGGGTATTTGGCACTATCTCCGAAAACTAGAAACTTCACTAGCAAGGTCATCGCCGATAGCGGCTCGGCGCTGTCTCATTGGGCCATAGATAGAAACCCACTTGATACCGCAGAAAATCTCGCAGAATTAATAAGAAATAGTACCTCAGAGGAAATCAGTGACGATTTATTCAAAAATATTGATGTAGAAAAACTAATTAAATCTGCCAAGAACACTAAATTTAGGCCATGCATTGAAGAAGCAGAAGAAGGGTCGTTTTTAACTGTGACGCCTTGGGAAACATTGTCTACGCAAAAGATTGAGATATCGTTTATAATAGGTACAGCGAACCACGCTGGTCTATTGGAAGCATTGGAACATGACGAGGACAGCGTTTCAGAGTTAAATGAGCATTTTACGAATTCCTTGCCAGATGATTTGAGTTTTCAGAGCACATCAGAAATGCAAAACGTAGGAGTCACTCTGAAAGAACAATACTTTGGCAACGATGAAATAAGCTTGAAGGATACTGAGGCGCTTTCGTTGTATTACACAGACGCCTCGTATCTTGGGCCTAGTCTACGAGTGGCTAGGGCGTTGATGAATGCGGGTGCAAGCGTCTTTTTGTACGAGTTTTCTTTTGTTGGGGCTTTAAACAAGCAGCTGGTGTCGATGGAGAACGCGCCGAGACACGGGGCGGTGCGGGGAGACATCGTGGGGTACTTGTTCCCGGCCGCGCTCGGCGCTGGAACTCGAGGCGAAGGGACAGATGACCAGGAACAGCGCATTGTCGATATGCTGGCAGATTTGTGGGTCAGCTTTCTTCAAACTGGGTTAGTATGTTTTTAAGAGCTTTTGTTTATATTGGTACTTAACACCACTTATTTGCATGACTGTCTACTCAAGTATGTATGCAGTTTGCAAATAGAGTAGTTTTTTAAACAAGATAACTTTTACGCTAACTCAAATATTATAACGTTTATTTACGTGTGCATGCGATAAAACTGTCTAATGAAGGTTTATACCAAATACCGTTGCGCTTATCTTTGCCACTTCAAATCGATGGAACCGACATATGGTGGTTATGAAATTTTTATCAGCTCTTTAATTTTCAGGCAGCCTTCGGCTGAAGGCGTGGAGTGGAAGCCGCTGAGCGCCGCCGAGGAGTTCCTGTCCATCGGCAACGAGACCAGCCTGGCCTGCGGGCTTCACCCCGAGCGCCTGGACCTCTGGACCGAGATCTACCGTCTGCACTTCGTGGACAGAAACGCTGCTATTCCCATGGGACTAAGCAACTGTCTAATTGCGGTTGCCCTTATTTTGGGGATGAACTTTTGTGTAGAGTAACTTTATAGTTTGGTCGGTTGGTGGGGTGACAGATTAAATTCAGAATCAAATCTTACCCATTTGATATAGATTCAAAAGTTTTAGGGTCCCGTACAAATTCCAATTTCAACTTCCTCAAAATGACTTGGTTACTTTTCTGCAATGATAATCATCAGGACTGTATTTTATTAACTTAAAGGATTTGTTTTGATCACTGTCCAATCTCATTGACCGACACGCAAGCCATGTACAAATCTAGTCAATACGAGTATTAGTGGTATACTTTTAGTTCAAATATACAATATTTAACCTGCTGCAAATGTATACTTCTAAGCTTCCAATCATTGTTCACCTTCTTTCTCTATAATGTCACCAGAAAGTGTGATACTTTACTTGATTCTGGGAATCAAACCTCGTGGTCTCATTTAAAACCAGGGTTCCAGTGTCATGTAGATAATATAATCGATTAAAAAGAAAGCTTGATCCACATCATGGATGAGTCACCGTGTTTCCACTCCTAGCCTCACGGGCCACGCAAATATTACTGTTTGGAAACACTGTCTAGTCGAAGCGTAAACAAATTTCAATTGGCTGGGGTAAAGGGACGTACACATCACGATATACTACAACTAGTTACTAGGCTAGTACACAGCTATAATTTGTGCATTATATTGTATCTTTAACGCCCGTATACACAAACATTACTATGAGGTCTCGCAGTGCGCGTGGACGCACAGGGTGACACATGAACCAATCACAGGCTCTATTCAACATTGTGCTGTGCGTTTGATTTGCTGCTTCACTTAAGCAAGCATCGTTTGTGAATACGCGCGTTAAAGTATGAAGTAAGAAATTTTGATACATTTTTCATATCTGTTCAGGCTGTGCTCCTCAAGGCTAAATGGATTACAACGAATAAGCGTGTGGGTACATAAGCCCAATTAAATTCTACTCAATGCTTTCTATGAAATGGTCTTTCGCTCTTTGGCCGCATCGATTTCATGAACAGGCCCCTCTGTAACAGAACAGCAGACAGAAGCTAAAATTATTGTAAAAAGCACGCCATGCATGATGCATAATAAAACTATTTTTTTATTATTCCTAGTATAATGAGAGAGAAGTAAACTATTAACTACGAGTATACACACACCTTTAGAAATCGAAAGTTAAATCCATCCGTTAAGTTTAGAATAACCGTACACACATCACTCGAGTTTACACCAATTCAAATGCAGTTAGTTTTCCACTAGTGCAGTGTCATTTGCGTCACATCCTCACTCGACGCCAGCGGTGAGCATGCTGGTTCGCGCGCTAGTGATGGACCTGTTGATGGTATTGGTGTGGGGGGTGGGTGCGGCCCCCGGGCCCCCCGGGCGAGCGGGCCCCGCGGGCGGCGCGGTGCGCGGGCGGCCGGCCCCCCGGCCCCCACACCACGCGTACCTGGGCATCCCCTACGCCCGCCACTCCAGGAATGACAGGTTTAAGGTCAGCCCGTGGAATTATGTAAATGGATAGTTTTTATGATGCTGTGGTATAGGAACAAGTGGTAGACCCAGTAGAATTGTTCTGAACTGATATTTCAATGATTGGTCTTGATTGGATAAATGTAGAGCTTAGTCACTACAGTTACAAAACGGTGGGAATTAGAGGTGGCATTTTGATTTGGTGGTCTGTCAGACAGACTGGTTAGCGGAACAGTAATGGGTTTTATGAAATAAAGTGCTTTTGGAGTTCGAAACATAAAGAAAATCGTTGTACAGTTGTGAAAGAATAGATGGGCGAACTAATTGACTCGCATGTGTATTTCACAACCACATTATAGGAGTTGCATTATTCAATACTGCAGTAATGGGATTGAAAAGTGCGAATGGCTCCGTTCCAGACGATATAGTTGAGTGAGTGGGTCGAAATGGATTAGGTTGTGTGGCGGCGAAGCATCAAGGACGTCTACTACTGTTTTAGACTAGGATGATAGATATTTCGATGATATTTTGACTAGAGAAGAGCATACACAGTAAAGTGCAGGCCTTAAAGTCTTCGTGGTCTAGCAGTTTCGAGTAGTGTTTAAGGTTCCCGGTCAGGGTCAGGTCAGACGAAAACTCATGTACATAGCCAAGCCAACACGAAAACAATCGAAGAAAAATGTGTCGCACCACTGTAAGTACGAGTTTATAGGTCAAACTGTTTGCCGATGCGCCATTTGTAAGATCGCTATCAGGCCGGGGCTATAGTTACTATCCGTCCGGTTCGGACATAAGGACTTATTAATACAATAGGTGACACAGGCATGTCCGGACAACTAGGTTTTTGGGTGGACTTAGTTCACTGAGAAAAATGCACAGATGAACATCAACTTTTGTTCTTGGGGGTTTCTAAAATGGTACTTTTCCTTATTCCACCATCACTTCAAATAAAGAGTGAATTTATTGTTTTATTTCGTGACCAAACTGACTGCAGTTTTGAGAATAGCCGGTTTGCTGTAAGGAATCTCCAAATGCCAGGAATTCAGATGGTTACCCCAGCCAGCCGGTCCTGTGGTGACTAATGGACAGGTCACGGCTTCGTTATGTCTCTGCCGGGTGGGCTCTAATTAAATAAAGGCTTTCGCGTTATTGCGTGTTACATCAAAATACAGGCGTTTAATAAAAGTATCTCTATTGTATATTGTTTTTCTCTAAATTTCCATTTCGATGTTCAACAATGTTTCAGTTCACAAATGGTCCAAAAATTTTCATTTCAGTTGCCTTTAGTTAGGTAGGTACCTACCTACTTTGAGTTACCCTGCTGACCTTCAAATATCAGCTGTTTGCTTGTGCGATTAATTCTACTGAAATAAATAATGCACACTGCATTATCCTTTAGCGCTTTAGCAATGTGATGCAAGCGAAAACTAAGTTAAAAAAACAATCTTTATTAGGTACGCAAAGGCAAAATAAATAAATAGCCTCTGGGACATAAATATAATTCAAACTGAACAAATATATCGCTTTAAAACATAAATAAACTAAGCATACAATATTTCACTGCTGCGCGGCACTAAAATTATAAAAGTAAGACTTCGTTCGCGCTTTGATGTTGTATTAAATGTATTAATGGTTGTTTTCATAACCCACTTTCAGGTACGTTTAATGTTTATTATAATATTTGCACGACTGAAGTATATAATGTATGTTCTTTGAACAGTATCAAATGCTTTTTATTATGCAGGTCAGAGTACTCCCTAAAGTACAGTAAGGAAAATATAATATAGAATCAGATTTGACGGTTCTACCAGGATTTACTATGGAATGAAAGTGTTTTCTCGATTTGGGAAACAGAGTCGTATGTGTTATTTTTCTTCTTATTCTGCTTAGCCTCGCCTCATCCAGTTACGCGGAATCGGCTTTCCTAATCATGCGCCGCCATTTTATGTATTAACTATCTTGAACATCTTGTTCGTTTAGTTCTAATATTTTACCGATATTTATTATCTTCTAATATAGGCTCCAAAGCCTGCCCGTAGTTGGGACGGCACCTTCGAGGCGGCGTACCAGATCAAGTGCCCGCAGCCAGACGGCTCGGGCACCGAGGACTGCCTGGTCGTCAACGTGTTCAGCCCTGAAGACGCTGATGGTCGACCAGTTCTGGTGGTCGTGCACGGAGGCAACTTCCAGAGAGGGTAAGGATTTGTTCCCCAATATTATCGTAGAATTCTTCAGAGAAATTTATTCTCAATACATGAGTCTACCTTTTTAATGGTTTTGTAATTAATAGAAATGTTGCGTTACTTCAAGAAAATGTATGATGTACCCTGGAGACTTGAAAGCGGATGGAAATTAGATGCTTGAGTATAAATCTATACAAGGGTACGAGATAAACGAAACACAACAATCCAATTTCGGCGCACTTGTTATCCTAATCCTTTATGGAACTATCGCGAGCCGGTGTTGTTGAGCGGCGTGGGCGGTGGCCGCCATGAATAATATAATAATAATGCGGAATGTCCAACACTTGTCTGTTCCAGCTGGGGCGCGCACCGCCCGCCCGCGCGCCTTCTCGCCCGCGGCTTCGTCGTCGTCACCTTCAACTACCGCCTAGGGAGCCTCGGCTTTCTCTGTCTTGGAATCCCAGAAGCCCCAGGAAACGCTGGCTTGAAGGACCAAGTCGCCGCTTTATACTGGATCCACAAAAACATAGCTCATTTCGGAGGAGACCCTCTCGACGTTACGTTGTACGGCATAGAATCTGGCGCAGCAGCAGTACAATTAGTCATGTTGTCCGAAGCTGCTACAGGACTCTTCCATAAAGTCATCCTCGAATCTGGTTCTGCATTGTCGCCCCTTGCACTGGCCTATGACCCAAAGTTAACAGCTTTCGATGCCGCAATTGCAGTGGGTTACACAGGCACAGATAGCGTCGAAGAATTAGCAAAATTTTACAAAGATTTGCCGTTGGAACGACTAGTAAATACATCGACGATGTTCCTACCCTGTTTAGAAAACAATCTAGCCACCACACATAGTTTGCTAGACACAGATCCTTTAGAAATATACAAGCAAGGAAACTACCAAAAGGTTCCGATGATCATTGCCTACGCTACCTCGGTAGGCGCATCGGCAATCGAGACAGAAATTGCGAATTCGAATCTATCTGAGAATTTTGCTGATTTGCTGCCAAATAATTTAGCATTTGATGACAGCAAAATGAAACATAGGGTAGCTGAAGTGGTAAAAGAATTCTATTTGGGAAATAATGTTTTAGATGGTGATTTGGTAAAGAATTACCTTGAATACTTCAGTGATGTGACTTTTGAGTTTCCAATAATAAAGTCTGCAGTTCTTCATGCTGCCACGGGTTATTTACCCGTATATTTAATGAAGTTTTCAAACAAAGGCATAATCACAAATGCAGAGGAAAATAAAGCAAATTATAGAAGTTTATTTGATTACATGTATGATGATCATGAATTTGTTGAAGATCAATTAATTGTTGAGCAATTGGTGACTCTGTGGAGTAACTTCATTATGATTGGGTAATTGTTTACAACAAATGTCATAAACATACAGGTTTAATTTAATTGATCATAAATATTTGAGGATGACAATAGGTTGATCCATAAAGCCACAATGGCAATACATACTCATATGATTTTATTTATGATCAATTATAAAAATCTACTTGGGAAGTATGACATACTTTTCATCTGTACAAACTGTATTATAAGTGCATAGATAAGTTTTGATAACACTACAAATACTAAACTAAATTATTTTGTTTCTGTAATTTCCGTCGTATAATCATCCATCCAACCATCATCCCTCACTTAACCCACTTGTTACGGAGTTCACTTTTTCTATCACTTACCTTAAATCAGTCATGATAAATTTATCTCAAAACAATCGCTCCAAAACTTTATAGTTATTTACGTCAGTGTACTTATAAGACTTGGACAATACTGCGACACACCTCATCTTTCAAATGTTGCACATAAAAATTGTTTACATTACCCACATTAGTAAAAATATTTATGTAAAAACTAGCGTTCTTTTAAAAGAACGCTAGTAACAAGTGGGTTAAAGGAAATAAACTCTTAATCACATTGTTGTGAGAAAAATGATCCTACACTAAATAAATTTAACAAACATCAATTTCAGAGACCCAACGCCACTCACCACGTCTCTGATACCCGTAGTGTGGCCGCCTCTAAGACCCGGAGACAATCCGAGAGGACTGAACGTCAAAAAAGTTCCAGGGCTTATCTATAGAAGATCACTGCAATTGAGTGAACAACTTGCCAACGATAGAATACTGTTTTGGGACCAGATATATAGGACATTTTATAGATTACATGTTCGGTCATTTGACACAGAATCAAAAGAATCAGAAAGCTAAAGTTGTATTTTTGTGTAGTTGACTGAATAAAATTTGAGCAGATTCATTTTAGCTGTGATTCTTTTACACTTTTTGGGAATGATGTAATGTACATCGCTGTTACAATAAAGTGAAAATTTCATCGTCATTAATGTACTTATGACGTTGAATATCTAAGAATTTAATTACATATTCATTTATCTTTCCAAAATAATATTGCAGAGTATTTACAGTTGATGTGGTGATACATTACTACCTAGTATTTCAGAATTTTTTGGAAAAAATCAGCATCATTATAAAATGTAGGTCAAGCAGTATTACTATAAGTAGGTACTCCAATGAGATTCCAATAAAACATTACGATTGGCGTTCAGAGTAATTAAAAACAACGTAATTGTGAGAGATAGTTTACGATTACAGACGTACTCTCGACAACTCGCAATCGGAGGCCAAACTGCAAGCCTCATGAAAGGGGACTTAACAGAAAATTACACATTGTCCGTGATGTGGGAGTTTGACACCGAAATTCCGATAGCATGACGATTCTAGAACTCAACTACGAGAAGTAGAAACCGTGAATTAACGCGGATTATACGGAATACATCGACGTCGTCAAAAACAAATAATACCGTTACTTACCTTGATGAAAGGCGCTTCGTAAAGCGAGGAGACGGGAAAAACAGGCTGCGTGCACCTTCCAGGCTATAACATACTTGTTCACAACACTTTGGCACGGAAGTTCACTTAATTATCACCGATTTTTTTAGCAAAATCAACAAGTAAATTATAAAAGACAAAACATGAGCCACCGTCACATTTCACTCGGATGACATTTTACTTTTTCACAAAAACAAGTTCCTTGAATAACTGACCAATGCATAGCAAGTAAACAGCCACATCAAGTAATCACAAAAATTCAAAAATCACAAAAAATAATTTATTTGGCACAACAAACCAATTTAATTTAAAATGAACTTTAAAATATTGTGCAATAATTATTTTTAAGCACTTCATCATTATCTGACAATTTTTTTTTGAGATCCTAAACGCCTGCAGGTTTTTGTAAGCAAATACTTCGGTGGCAGAATTGAACACAACAAAATAATAATTGATGAATTTTGTTGCAGACAATGCCGGGTCTTCAGCGCGTGTATTGCCCTACCAAAAACATATAAACATTCAACATTTTTTGTAGGCCACTTTGTAGAATGATTTTGTTGATTGTGTAGGGCAAAACACGTTCTGAAGACCCGGCTTTAATTAATCGTACTACCTAATGAACTAACAAATAAGTAACATAGAGCTAAGATCTACCTTGTAACCTTATCTTAACTCAGAAGACTACAAGACGCTTATTATTGTTGTACCTATTGAAGTGGGAGGAGATGCAGTGGGAGGGTCAGTGTTTACGTGGTTTAACATTAGTTTCAGCGTAATAAGAAACTGACCTAGTAGCTTGTTAAATTATGGTAGGACCTATCCTTGGACGACTAAACGGTTTATTCGTCCAAGTACCTACCAGGCTACCACAATGCCCCCCATGTCGATCGAGGACATATAAAAATCACAAATACTTAGGCAGGCAGGTCATGTCTACACTTAGGAAATGTAAAGTAAGTTTTTTTTCATAAAAACCTGCTCAAGTAAGTACCTACCTTTTGTTACCACATTGAGTTGCACCAACTTACTTTTACCGTAACTATAACCATCACCGGTGGTTTTTGAATGGAGTTTGACAGATTTTGGACGTCTGTTAAAGTTAAAGTAAGATGGTGCAACTTAGCCAAGTAAGTAAAAATATAGTGCGGAACACTTTTATTAATAAGAAAAATACCATGTAATTATATTGAATATCTTTATTTGAATAACAGGAATGTATTTCTCATAGTTAAATCTTATTTACATAAACTTATAATCTACATACATAATGTAATTATCACATTTTTCCAAATTCTTCAATTTAATTTTGAACTTACAATAAGGTGCAAACAGGTCCACGAAATAATGGAAACTTATCGCATATTGTACCTACATTAAAGATAAAGAATATAAAATAATTGTCAATATTGTCATTAATACTTATAATAATACATGCAGTAATTAGCCCGTGGACTCATAGCTGGTCATGATAAATTTTGCTAGTACAGTGAAATTGATTGGCTTGAGCTATATTTCCAGTTTCCTAACTTTCGGTACAAATCTGGATAAAAAGCAATTCTAGTTTGGATGATATTTTCTTACTTTAAAGCAATAAGGGGCTAATTACTGCCCCTTATTGTAGGTATAATGTTTTTGACATAAAAGAAGAGACATGTTTATCTTTTTTGATTAGAAATGGCACAGGAATTACTGGGTAGAAAATCCAAATTTATTTTTCTCAGACAGTAGATAATATTAATGTCAATAAATAATGGTAATTAATGAATTTAAATTAGGTATTTTTAATGAATAAGTTTTAATATTTATAAAGGTAGTGACGACGACAATAAGGACTTAAACCACGGTATTTAAAAGTAGGTACCTAAACTTTATGTTTATTCAGTGAAGAAATGGAAGTGCAAATAGTATATTGCCTCTGCTACAAAGTGTAGTCGAACAAATTTGATGATTGAGTTAAACAATTCAAAAGGTTTTAGAATAAGAAAATCTTTTAACAATTTAACTCATAAAATAGGTCATAATAAATGGAATGGCAAGACTATAGGTACTATAGTACTTATTATCTACTAATTTAGGTACTTGAAATAAAAAGGTTACAGCACTATGTAAACTGATTGCATTTCCCCTTACTGATAGAGTTACATGAGCTTTGAGCACTTTCAAAATGGCATTTTGTAAGGAAATGTCTTCTCAGTGTTCAATGCCCATGGAAATTATTATTAGTAAGGGAGTCAGTTTAAACTTACTAGCTACATACCTCGTAAATACTCATTGATAGGTACTTAATTTCAATTCAATATTGATGTAGTGTTGTACAAATGTTCATGATAAGGGTTTCAAGCCTTTTGGCGTTTGAAAATATGAGGCTTTTGCCTCATATTTTCGAAAAATTGTCTTCAAGATCATTCAAAACAGGGAAAAGATGTTGATCTATACGTCCTGGCTTTTAAAACCCTCGGTGGCGAGTCCGTGGATCATTGGCAGTGTTCGTTGGAGTCGACGACGGAGCTCTTCCGCCAGCCGAAGAAGAAGTAGCCGAGCCCCATGCCCAGCACCAGAGCCATGCATAGCCACACGTTATACGTCATGAATATCAACATGAGGATGTATGAGAACGTCGACTGCACTATGTGGAAACCTGTTTGTATGAAGTGGCCGCCCGATAGCATCGTGTACCTGAAACGAAACGGAACGAATAAGAAAAAAGGTTAATTTATTTCTTACTAGCCGACTCGGCGAACTTCGCAACTACCTATGTTCATCAGAGTAAAGCCACTAATGGTGAAAGATTTTTCAATTCAGATCAGTAGTTTCGTTAGTCAGATTCATACAAACAATCAAATCTTTCCTCTTTTACTAAGTAATTAAAACAAATTAAACCTAGATTGGCAAAGACATCAAAAACTATCTTTTTCAAGCAATAGTGACTTGCTCGTTATGTCGTTATACAGGGTCAAAACACCAGCAATCCCGCAGGTTGCTAGTGTTTTACTAATAACAGTGTATATCAGACGATATTAATTTGGAAAAGATCGCATGGTGAATCAATTTACATACATAACTGGATTTGGATGCTTAGTTCAGTCGCTATACGCAATTTATTATCCTGTTTTAACCGTAAATACAAGATGGACAGCCTGAAGCGTCGGCAAGATATTTTGCAAATTAAATGTTTTAGTGTAGAGACGAAACGATCTTCATTTTTACTTTGAAACTTTACAGTATTATTGTTTATAACCCAGAATAACATATGGGCTAGCTATAATTTATGACGATCTGTGACAAAATAAATTTCACGCGGGTGAAGCCGCGGGCAAAAGCTATACAAAATATATTTACTTGACAACGGTAGGTCCTCTGCAGTTGGTGTTGGTGCCGCACTCGTTCTTCGCGATGTTGACCTGGGAGTCCCCGGTCACTGTCGTCGAGCTCACGTACAACGCCTCTCTGCAAACAATAAAACTCAGAAGATCAAAATTATGCACTAGAAAGAAAAACACCAGCGCATTTTGTCCCTAAGGCCCAGAACAGACGGTGAAACGCAACTGCAACGAAACTGCAACTTTGTGATGATTCTGATGAATGAAACTGAAACTGAAAGTTTCAAACTGGTCGCGTCATCTGTGGTCTCTCAACGGACGCTATGGCAGAAACTTAGATGCAACTCAAAAGTAACTAACTAGCAGTTGCAGTTTCGTTGCAGTTGCGTTTTTTTGGGCCTAAGTGGTAGCGGGCAGGCTACTTATTACTTATACTTAGGACGTGTATATGTGCCCTGGAAAGAGCCTAAGCAAGCACGGAATAAAAACTTTGACTAACAATGACGGCCAACTTTTCAGACCACATCTAGGAGCCAAATCCGGGATCCAATCCTTTAAATTTTAGGCGTCAGAGCTTTTACCTTTATTTGAGAAAATCTAATTTTAATTTTTAGCCAGGGTTCGAAAATATCCGATATCAGATATACAAACTGAAATATGTGGTCAGGTGCAATTTCGTAAGAACTACATGATGTGATATCGATATCATAAATGTGTTAATTTGCGGGACTCAAGGAGCCTTTACATGATCCAAAAATAAAAATCAAAATCAAAAAATATTTATTCAGTTTAGACCACAAGTGGCACTTATGAACGTCAATAGAAAATAATAAAAAAAGAAAAGGTAGCCCTTATGGGGCACTTTATACGTCTCCTTATCTTTTGGGCCCTACCAGCGCTTCGAGACAAACATATGGCAAGTGCTGAGAAGAAACGCCGGAACAAACTCAGTCACAACTTATTGCCATGTTCTTGCCCTACTACCATCGTATAAAAGTTGATGCTACCTGTAGTACTTGAGTCCTTCGTAGAGGACGCCGGCGAGGAAGATGGCGACGGCCGAGCCGAACAGCTCCAACGCGTTGGTGGTCACCCATCCGTTGAACAGGATCTCCTGGTTCACGCCGGCGTGGAACTGGAACAGATGAAATGAAATGAAATAGTTTATTTAGCACATAGGCCGTTCTCAGGGCACTTATACTGTAGGTACACGTCCCAAATATAGCTTGCCCTACCACCACTTCAGGACAACATATTATGGGCTGGTGCTGAGAAGAAGTGGCGGAAGAAACTCAGTCACCTTTGAACATGCTGATGTGTTCATGCCATTATCGGGAATGGTTAGGTTCAAAGGGAAACAGAATTTGTATTGAGCATAGTTGAATCAGTCTTTTCGGTTAAGCATATGATTGAGTTAGCAGATGCTTTTTGGAAGTTAATTTCAACTTTTATTGCGATCAAATCTATAATCACCATTGTGAGGTGTGTGTCGTCGACTGTCATCCGATAGATCAAGAAGAGACTAGAACTTATTGATCTAATAATGAATAAAAATATGGAAATAATTTACCATGGCAATAGTGTTCTTTACAAAGATCAAGATTGAACAGATAGGTTAAAGCAGAGCAGACTTCATTATCTCATCTCACTTATCTTATCAATAAGTAGTAGGTATCATAATATTTTTACCTTAGTACCAGCTGGTTTAGAGCTATTTTTATCTTTAAGTGGATTCGGCATTGATCTCTGAATGATTTGATGAACTTCGAATTGTGTCAATTACCTGCCGAGTGTACATACATCATCTAAATATACAATATAACTCAAAGGTGACTACTGACTGACTGACTGACATAGTGATCTATGATCTATCAACGCACAGCCCAAACTACTGGACGGATCGGGCTGAAATTTGGCATGCAGGTAGATGTTATGACGTAGGCATCCGCTAAGAAAGGATTTTACGAAACTCCACCCCTAAGGGGGTAAAACGGGATCCATGAGTACGATGTCGCGGGCAGCCGCTAGTAATACATAATTATAGTACTTATCTTGCTCATAAAAGAATATTTTTTCAAAGAAGAATATTTTTTTTACTTGAGACATTCGTTTTTGTTTTAACTGCTGCTGAACATTAGTTGTTTTTTTACTAAATAAGTATTCCATAGTGTTCCCACGCTCCCGAAACCTGGTACACGCGGCTATGCTGCGCCGGCGCCGCCAAAAACATATAGCAGGAAGCGCCGGTCAGCGAAGTGTGACAGTGTCGCGGCTCCCGAATACTAAGCACAAGAAAGTGTTGTAACCAGTACCTCTAGCACGAACATTTTTCGTCTTCGAATCGTTCGCGTCTTCGACAAAATTGGATACTTATAGCCTAGCTAGATAGCCTTCGAATTCAACGTTATTGTGACGATCTCGATTGTCAAAATTAGTTTCGTGTTATCATTTCGCATATGTACTAAGTTCACTTTACGTCACATTCACAAGGGCGCTGTTTATGTTTTCATACTAAATCTTTTGATGGCGATTCGAATACGCAAGCGATTCAAAGTCGAAAGTTTTTCGTGCTAGAGGTACTGACGTTAGCATCGATACGTTTCCGCGCGTTCTACACAGCTGGATAACTGAATGTGCCTGTGCCCTTATAGAGACGTTAACATGTTGTGAGGTCTATCAGCCTATCACCTACTAAAATTACGTACAGAATGCATAAATCATTAAACAGATATTATATCCAACTTTACATTTGTTATAATATGGATGAAAATCACCTAGACGCAAATCAACATTTTAGACTGAATACAATATTGTTCTGGCTGGAAACTAATTAAATACAGGTTAAGTAGGTAATTTACTTATTTGTTCAGTGAACCAAGGCTAAATAAAGGCAGCAAAACAAACAGACTTGCAACATAAGTTTATTGCGTCACGGTGCAGTGGTTACAAGTAACTTTATAAAATAAAAAAAGAAAGAAAAATAGAAAAACCCAACCACTGCAACTAAGTTTGATTCCCGCTGCGGCTTCCGTCGCTATCAGTGGGAAAGTGGAGCCAATGTCGAGTGCGGTTTCCATCGGCTGATAGCGATTACAACATAGTTGCTATCAGTCGCTGACCTTCGGTCGCGCGCGTCTTGTGGTTTTTCTTCATTGAACAATTTAATTAATGACAGTACTTTTTAAGCAATATTATAGATACATGGGATAAACGATTAGTAGCCATTGGATAAGAAAAGTGTAGCTATGCATTATTAATTAGGTATGCATGTAATAAATACGTGGCAAAATCTTTCAGGCGTTGTGACTTCTGCATCTGCTTTTAAAGTCGTAGAACCTATTTGGTTGAATTATCCTGATTGTCCAAAAAATATGATTCAGTGCTTTGGAGGCACGAATCGAGCTGTCTAATACAACAGCACGTGCTATCGTCAACTATATGGAGATTTTTACTTTCAAATAGTGCCATGCCATTTAGGTTCGCTTAAGTCGGGGCACGTGGGTCAGGTTGGGTGATATATGACAGTTGCTACAATCCAGACACGAAGAAGTAGGTAGGTACATAGTGTAAGTACTAACCACCATGGCGTGCGAGTGTCCGTGGCCGCCGTCGCCGTCGCAGTCGTGGTGCATGTCGTGGTGTTCCATCTCTGCTGATGTGTCTGAAACCAACAAATAATCTGTTTAATACAAGTAACACAGACAAGTAATACGGCGTTAAGCCTGGTGAGTGTGCGAGCGCGACAGCAACATAATTACACGCGAGCGATAAGGATGGGTAGCTTGGGGTCATTGGACAAAATTCTACGTGCTCACGGACCAGGCTTTAGACAAGATGGTCATTTGTCAACCGACAAAAAGAAACTTTACACAAAAACAACAGCAATCCCGCTGTTATTCGATAACATCATTATAAAACGTCGACTAACTCAAGAGGCATACTTAAATAATATCAACACTTGCCATGTAGACACCGAGTTAAAAAATAACCTTAACAGAATTCGCACGGACCACTTGAACGTTGAAGAAAAAAGGGAAATAAATAAACTGTGTTATCAATATAGGGACATTTTCGGTCGAGCTGACTGCGCCCCTCGCTGGTATGCGACTCTCCTTCGCACTCACCCGCACACCTCCCCGCGTTCGCCCGTCTGAACCAGAGCGTCGATGTGACGTCACGGCAGCTAGGTGCGCAGTTAACTCGACTAGGTTGTATGTCTGTCTACTTCAATTTATTAGTCCTAGAGTTGTTAATAATTTGCCTACTTTTCGTTTGCTTAACTGAACCTATTATACCGTCAATGAAGTACAATAAAACTGTTGATACAAGTGTCCTCGCGAGCGATAACATTTAGTTGTTATTCCGATTCCTGTGGTTTGTGTTGAAATTGCGTTTACTCATTTTACAAGAATTTTCTTTATAAGTTATGCGGCTATTATAGAAATAGATGAAACTTATAATAACATAGTGATGAACAACGATTTCCATGCAGGATTATTTTTATTACGATGGATTTGGAGCGGGCTAGTCCTCATTTTGCAAATTTTCTGTGGATGAGATCAAATACCATAAGAACCTAAGCCCCCATCTATAAATAAAATTTGTCTTCATGCCTATGTGTAGAAAATTAGGAGTACTGCAAAAGTCATGCTGCCTAGTTGGTGAATTTAGTTATTATTCGAAAAATTTTACGCCTATTGAGTGTCCCTCATAACTCATAACACAAAGCATTTGTTATTATTGAAAAATTCTGCCATTAAGTATACAGTCATTAACCCGATTGTAAAGAATTCAACTGTAAACTCTAGAGAGAGTTAAGTAAGTTACAATTTGCTATAGTTTTTTTTTGTAAGAGGAAAACTGAATAGCTATTCAAAGAAATGCGAATTCACTAATTCGCTGAACATTTGGTTTGCATTGCTGTTTCAATACTTGTGAGTGTCTAAATCTTTCTTATACTCGTAGACAAAGAAAATCTCTTGATATTTTCACGAAATTCAGTCTTTCTGGGTGTTAGCTGAGGCGGTTACAGAAAACGATTCCCTGCGTAATCCGAGAATAAAATCCTCAAACCACGAGAAAAATGCCGGCATAATTGCGTGGCTCAAGTGTAGCGAATTGGCGCTTTTTCAGTCTAGACAAAAGATGTCTCTTAAATAAAACAGTTTGACGATTTCACGGACAATGAATGAAAAGTCACCGACACACCATATGCGTCAGTAATGACTTGACTGAGCCACACCATGCTACATTATAAATACATAATAATATGACAAACCATTAAATTATTATACATGTTTTTCTTTTTTATGCGTAATAATGATGACACTGTACTGTATTTTTCTAGCCTTATTACCGTAGGTATAGATACCTAGTATTTTTTGTTAAACTTTTTAGTTATTAACCGACTTCAAACAAAGGAGGTTCACAATTCGGCTGTATGTAATACTCTAGATGTCGTGCGAGTTTTAAAGCGATTATACAGCGTTACGCATAATTAAAACAGCGGCTGACGAAATGTGAAATGAGGAAAATTAGTGATAAGTAGGTAATTCCTAACGTGTGGCAAACTGGTAAGAATCAATTACTTTCTAAAGCCGTAAATAAGGTAAACCATTACAATTTTACGAAATTATCCGTGCCATTATTTACGATTGTAGTCGTAGGAGTGTATTTTCTTTTTTTCTTATTATATTTTTGAATACTATCTATTCATTTATTGCTTGCTGAAGCTCCTAGAGACAGAGCACGAGCTACGTTCTCTCGGATACTACTCCGCGCAGCATAACTATTCTTTTTTAATGGGGTCACCTACGCTCAGTCTGCAACATAGATGCGCAACAGTATTTTCCCGATGTAAGAAACAAACATTGTTTTTTCTTTTTAAAACAGAAATAAGCGTGCAGCCACTACATATGCATTGTAACGCATCGCTAGAGCGCTATAGCATAGCATAGATGAGTTACGGACTTAGATCATAAATACCGAATGACATGCGATAAACCCGTATTTAACAGGTAAATTGTGGTAGTTTGCTGATTGTGTACGTTGCGAAATGACTCACGAGTGGTAATGGGCCGACAAGTGCTGTCATTTGTTTGTTTAGGTACCTATGCCCAATTTTATATTGTAAAATCTTTATTGAAAATGCTCTTCGCGGCGCAGGATACAACCATTTTATGCAACATTCGATGCCTGCCGAAATTTTACACCTTTAGCAAGAGTAGTGCACCCAACCTTAGTAGTAAGTATTCAAGTTCTTAATGCAGTGAAATGTGCCTCATTCAAACTTAAGCCAGCATTAGGAACTAGAACTTGTCTAAGCACTACAGTTATCTAGACTTAGCGTTTGCCGCTCAGATGCTACATCAATACAGGCGTTACGTAATAGAGAAAGCGAATTGCACAACTCTGCCTCATGTCTCTCACCATATTCCTCTGGCAAGTGTTTCCAGGAACAACACTTAGGCTGGGTTGCACCATTTTACTTTAACTTTGACAAACGTCAAAAATCTATCAAACTCCATACAAAAAGCACCGGTTATCGTTATAGTTACAGTCAAAGTTAGGTGGTGCAACTCAGCCTTATTCTCTTGGTCTGACAGAAGATTCAAATGTAATGATAAATTATTTCAATCTGCTCGTGCAAGGAAAAATGCTACTCTGTACAACATGACGTTGCAGCGCGCGGTTAATGCAACTTGGAATTAAAATGAAGGTCTATGAGGTAAAGTCCCTTTTACGAAAAACTTACGACATCTTAGTAACAAATCAGTCAACGAAGCAAGACTACTAATCAGCTACCAAACCATTATCTAAATATTCTTAACTATAGTAAAATAAACAAGCTAATACGTGTTTATTGTGTTTTATAAGAACGACTTTGTGTTTAGGAAGTGTGTAAGCGAGTTGTCAACTATCATCGTAATAGATACGGGGAAAATTTAAACCGCGTGAGATCATAATGTATGCGCAATAAAAACTACGAATACAGAATTATAGAAAAAGATTACATTTATGTACATTTGTTTGAAATCAGGCTACGTGTCTACGGTTCACCGCTCCGATGTATTTAATGGGAAAATGAGAGATAATTCAGTGGGCTCACTGCAATGGGTTAGAAATACGTGTAAAAACTAATATTTATGGTTCAAAGATTGCTAGTGCAGTAGCCATAAAAAACTAGTCGAATGAGATATACCTATACCCATTTTTTGTATTTTATGAAGGTAACTTACTAATGAAACTTTTTAAAATTAATTACGGTAGACTTTGGAATTAGGGTTGAAACTTGTAGTTAAGCGAGACTACTGTATTAATCATTGTTGTGGTTGAGAAGTTGTTACTTGAGAGAACACTGAGAATATGTAATTAAACTACATAATCGCCTATTCTGGTGTATGATCAAGAAATTACGTAGCTATGATTTGTATTTTGGCAATATAGACAACTTACGTCTACAAATGTATGTTGCAAAATTCTTGGTTTTAAACAGGTGTATAAAAAATGAAATGAAATTGCTCAGATAACATACTAGGGTTAAACATTGCGTTACGAACATAATTTTGGATCTTTTGTAAAATTTTGCCCCGATCATTAGCATTGAAATGGAAATGTAGAGTCATAAAGGAACCGTCTACATGTTGTAAATGTAGCGTCAGCTGGAAACCAGTTTCTGGGGATGGGCCCAGGAACCGGACCGCATTACCCTTTTACATCTAGGTATTCCACAGATGGGAAAACCCAGTATATTTTAAACGGGTTCAGACTTTATAACGACCAATATCCGAGGATTTTAAAAGACTTTCGCGTCGAGATGCTTGTTTTTATGACTCTAACAAGGTTGTAAATTGGAGAACGAGCAAAGAGAAAAAAAGCTTGTGACTTTTAATGAGTGATTAATTAATTGCTGTTTGATCTGGTGGTTTGTAAGCATTACTACATCCCCAGCTGTGGTTATGAATCTTGCTGGTGTTAGATGTTACTTAGATTTATATATTTACTAGCGGCCGCCCGCGACTTCGTACGCGTGGATCCCGTTTTACCCCCTTCATCTATCTTACGCGGTTTAGATTTTTTCATACAAATGTTTTTTCCCGCTAACTCCCGTTCCCGTTGGAATTTCGCAATATCCTGTTGTAACCAAGCTTTAAGTTTACTAAGGGACCTGCTTGCCAAATTTCAAGCGTCTAACTTAAGCGGTTTAGATTTTTCATACAAAAGGATTTTCCCGCTAATGCCCGTTCCAGTGGGAATTCCTAAGTATTATAACCTGCCCAGGAGTATGAAGAATAATTGTACCAAGTTTCGTTAAAATCCGTTGAGTAGTTTTTGTTTCTATAAGGAACATACAGACAGACAGACAGACAAAAATTTTACTGATTGCATTTTTGGCATCAGTATCGATCACTAATCACCCCCTAATAGTTATTTTGAAAATATATTTCATGTACAGAATTGACCTCTCTACAGATTTATTATACCTAAGTATAGATATAGATGTTACTACGTTGTTATTCTTATTATACATACATGTACATATGTATAGGTTGTAATCTAGTTGCCATAAAAGCTTCGCCCAAAAATTTTAGTTTTTAAAATTAAAATTATTTTTTTAAGCATGATCCCGTAACTGGTAGGATTTCTCAACATTGCAATGAC